TTTTTTTCTGTTCGTTCTACTCTCAATCATCATCATCATCATCATCGTCATCATCATCATCATCATCATCATCGTCAGCATCATCATCGTCAGCATCATCATCATGCTGCAATGTGGGATCAGTGGTCTATTGGTTCGAGTGATAGATTGGTGGATTGAATGATTGCCGTATGATGAATCATTTAATTGATTGATTGATTGATTGATTGTTTGATTGATTGATTGACTGATTGACTGATTGATTGATTGATTGATTGATTGATTGATTGATTGATTGTGTGAATCAATTACTAATTGATTGGTCTTTTTCATCGATTCAATCAAGCAAGTGATTGGTTATTTGATTGGGTAAAACCAGGCCAGTGAGTTCTCGCCCCTGTGCATCACAATGAGCGCTGGTTTGCGACTGGGATATGGCAGCGTGGCGACAGCTGCGGGGGAGAGATCCGTCTCCAGCATCGAGTGGATGGGAGTCGATGTCGGGGACAGAATAGCCTCCTTCTTGAGAGAGAAGGAGAGAGAGGTCCGCGACGACAAGGCTGCAGGAGTAGTAGCAGCAGCCGCGGGTATCAGCACCGCCGGCGGCGCCGGGGGTGGGCTGGGGCTGACAAAGGGGCTTGGTCCCCCTTCCTCTCAGCCAATCAACGGCAGCAGCAGCACCTCCCTCCTCCCTCCGCCATCTCCTCTTCAGGAGTCGGCTATGGTGATCAGCCCCCGTTCGGCCTCTTCTTTCTCCTCGTCGGTGGTACTGCCTTGGTCGACTGCACAGAGAGAACAGAGGGATCAGAGAGAACGAGAGGGAGGAGGAGGAGGAGGAGGAGGAGGAGGAGGAGGAGGAGGAGGTGGCGGCGTCGAAGCGCGGACGATGATGATGAGATCGGCCGTCGGGACTGAGACAACCTTCGGTCCGTATTCTGGGTCAGAGCGGTTCTACGGACAGCAGCCAACTGTTGGGACCAGGATTGACACCGGGATCGGGACTGGGATTACGACGACTGGGAGTGCGACGGGGATTGGCACTGGCAGCAGTGAGAGAGGACCACCTCCTCCTCCTCCTCCTCCTCCTCCTCCTAGTCGTAGTACTGCTACGGCCAGTACGACTAGTGCTGAAGGGGCTACTACCGTTCGTAGTCTGGATTTCGAATCTGCCGATGGGAGAGGGGACAAGCAGCTCGTCTGGAGTGGAAATCGTCAGCGACAAGAGCATTGTCGCCATAGCCACGAGCTAGATAGTCCTCCCGCTTCGTCTTCCCCTCGCCTTGATGAGTCTAATCATCAACCTCATTCTCTGCGATCTCCAGATCAACGGCAGTATCGTCATCATCGGCTGAATAGGTACCACCCACGACATTACTCGTTCTTTAACAATTCCAATAATAATAATAATAATAATAGTAATAATAATGATAATATGAATAATAATGCAGCTTATCAGCAACAAGGAAGAGGGGGAAGTGGGTTTGAATTGGCATGGTCTGGCGGAGGTACAGGACTTGTGAGGAGTGATGGGAGAGGTGGTGGTGGTGATGGTGGAGAAGCGAGAGGAGGAGCTTTGGCTATGGAGGACGTGGCTTCTCAGCAAGCCCAGGCGATGGATGATAGCGATCTTCGTCGTTCGACACACCAAATGGCGACTCCTGCCTCAGAAGCAACCGGTTTTCTCTCATCTTCCAGCAGGTGAGTTTTTTTTTTGTTTTTTTTTTTAATGTATTTATTTTTATTTTGTGATGAAAATTTGTGATGAACTACATGATTAGTTGCATGATTGATCTTATTTTGCGATTAAAAAAAAAAAAAAACTAAAAGTGAAGAGCTTTTTTTTTTTTTTTTTTTTTAACCAACTTTTGTATTCTACAAGCCGGGAAGCGGGCCCGGCGTCCCTCACAAAGGGGCGACCTTTCGGTATGATCCCGGCACTACGGCCAGGTTCATACCCCATAAAAGAATTTCGACCATTTTTCGATTTATGCGTGTCATCTATGATGCTTTTTATTTTATGATTATTCAATGATTATTAATTTTATAATAATTAATTTTATAATAATGACTTTTATAATAATTAATTTTATGGCTATTTTCGTGATTTTTTTTTTCCATTGTTGAAAGTAAGAAAGAATCAATTACTTGTGGTGGTCTTAGCTGTGACGAATGACGCGAGATCTTTTTTACTCTTTGAATCTGTGAAAGGTTGAAAAAGGCAGGGGAAAAAAAAATTTTTTTTTGAAAAAGGCAGGGAAGAAAAATTTAAAATTTTGAAAAAGGCAGAAAAAAAGGTCGAAAAAGGCAGGAATAAAAGGACTTCGCCTTCTTGCCCCTCAAATGGGTTCGACATTAGTGCATTGCCCGCCTCCCTCTCATGGAACAGGTGTTCATCGTATCCTGTATCTGACCCGAAAATCGCTTTAAATACCGATACGAAGTGCAGTGTGGCTGCATTCTACCTGCGTGACAGAGAGAGTAGGAGCAGGGGTCCTACTCTCTCTCTCAAAGTGTGTAACCTCCTACTCTCTCTCTCTCTCTCCCTCCCAGGAAGTCGACTCCTACTCTCTATCTCTCTGTGCCAGCAAGCAAGCCCCGCCAGCAAGCAAGCCCCTACTCTCCCTCTCTCTCTCCCCTCTCTAGCTCTGCAGCTAGTAGCCTCCTACTCTCTCTCTCTCCGCCAGTAAATAAGTGTACTTCGGTTATAACGATAGTGGCAATAGGGACTAGATGCTTATGTACTTGACATCGTAAATGGATTTATATATATTCAGCCTCCTGATGAGTCGGTGAAACTCCGGCGAAACAGTTTGTCACAGCTCCTCGTTTGTTGTCCTCTTCTCCCTCTCTGCCTACGGYTTRCCGGGCAGTTCTATTTGACGATATATATATATATACCTGATGAGTCGGTGAAACTCCGACGAAACAGTTTGTCACAGCCCCTCGTTTGTTGTCCTCTTCTCCCTCTCTGCCTACGGTTTACCGGGCAGTTCTATTTGACGATATATATCATTAAATATTATTTCATTTTAAATTTATTTTTAAAGCTGGTTATTTCCGAACATTATTGTATCTATCAGCATTAGACTCGTTATCTATTCATCGTCACGTACACGTGTGCAGGCTTCAGCCACAAGGCACAGGTGCATTGCACTTGTGTTGCCTGCCTGGTACTGGTTCAATTCTTTGTTTCTAGTTCCCCCTCCCCTCTCCCCCTCCCCCCCCCCCTCCCGGCCTCCCTTCTTTTCACGTCTTTCATCACCACGCTCCTATAGGTGATAGCTGCGTAATAATAGGAAAGATATCAATTGAGAGAATGGCCATTTGCCGAGGGACGGGGGGGAGGCGGGGGGAGGGGGATGTGCCGCCGGGGGGTGCGCGAGGGGGAGAATTCAGCAGACGGGGGAGTTTTCACTCTCCTGATGAGCTGACGAGAAACCGTATGCGGAATTCCTTCCCGCCCC